CTGAGTTCTCCTGTACTGGGTTTTTATGTTTAGAACAGTTAGATCTTCTTGCTGAATTGAACCCTTTACCATTATGTAACACCTTCGGGTTTTTTTATTTGTTTGTTTTTTGTTGTTTGTTGGTTTAAAGTCTTTTGTCAGAAGCTAGGATTACAGCCCCTGCTTTTTTCTGTTTTCCATCTGCTTGGTAAATTTTCCTCCATACCTTTATTTTGAGCCTGTGTGTGTCCTTACACATGAGATGGGTCTCAATCAAAGACAGCACACCAATGGAACTTGACTCTATGTATCCTGCCATTTTATGTCTTTTATTAGGGCATTTAGTCCATTTATATTTAAGGTTAATATTGTTATGTATGAATTTGATCCTGTCATCACGATGCTAGCTGGCTATTTTGCAGACTCGTTTATGTAGTTGCTTCATAATGTCATTGGCCTGTGAACTTCACAGTGTTTTTTGTAGTGGCTGGTAACAGTTTTTCCTTTCCACACTTAGTATTTCCTTCAGGAGCTCTGGTAAGGCAGGCCTGGTGGTGAAGAATTCCCTCAGCATTTGCTTGTCTGTAAAGGATTTTAGTTCTCCTTCACATATGAAACTTAATTTGGCCAAATATGAATTCTGGGTTGGAAATTCTTTTATTTCAGAATGTGGAATATTGGCCCCCAATCTCTTCTAGCTTGTAGGGTTTCTACTGAGAGGTCCACTGTTTGTCTGATGGGCTTCCCTTTGTAGGTGACCTGGCCTTTCTCTTTGACAGTGCTTAACATGTTTTTCTTTCATTTTGACCTTGGATAATCTGATGATTATGTGTCTTTGGGTTGACTTCATGGAGTATCCTACTGGAGTTTTCTGGATTTCCTGAATTTGAATGTCAGTCTGTCTTGTTAGGTTGGGGAAGTTCTCCTGGATGATATCCTGCAGTATGTTTTCCAACTTGGTTCCATTCTCCCCATCTCTTTCAGGTATTCCAGTCAGTCATAGGTTTAGTCTTTTTACATAATCCCACATTTTTCAGAGGTTTTGTTCATTCCTTTCCATTTTTTTTCTCTAATCATGTCTTCCTGCCTTATTTCAGCAAGATATTCTTCAACTCAGATTCCTTCCTGTGCTCGGTTTATTTGGCTATTGACACATGTGATTGCACCATGAAGTTCTCATGTTGTGTTTTTCAGCTCCATCAGGTCATTTATGTTTCTCTTTAAACTTGTTATTCTGATTAGCAGCTCCTGTAATGTTTTATTATGGTTCTTAGCTTCTTTGCATTGGGTTAGAACATGCTCCTTTAACTCAGTGAAGTTCATTATTGCCTACCTTCTGAGGCCAACTTCTATCAATTCATCCATCTCAGCTTCAACCCAGTTCTGTACCCTTGCTAAAGAGGTGCTGCAATCATTTGGAGGAGAAGAAACACTCTGGCTTTTTGAGTTTTCAGCATTTTTCCATTGATTCTTTCTCATCATTGTGGGCTTATCTTCCTTTGATCTTTGAGGCTGCTGACCTTTGGATGGGGTTTTTTGTAGAGTCTTTTTTATTGATGTTGGTGGTGGTGGTGTTTGCTTTTTTCTTAACATCAGGACCCTCTTCTGTAGGGCTGCTGCAGTTTTCTGGGGTTCTGCACTATTTTTGTCTAGATTCTTCCCCAACCCTCTATCGCAAGTAGAGGCTGCAAAACAGCAAAGATAGCAGCCTGCTCCTTCCTCTAGGAGCTCTGTCCCAGAGGGGCACCGACCTGATGCCAGCCAGAACGCTCCTATATGAGGTGTCTGGTGACCCTTGTTGGGAGGTCTTACCCAGACAGGAGGAACAAGATCAGGGCCCTGCTTAAAGAAACAGTCTGGCTGCCCCTTGACAGAGCAAGTGCGCTGAACTGGGATGAATCCCCCTTGTCCAGAATGTCCAGACTCTCCAGAGCCAGCTGCCAGGAAAGACTAAATAGGGTATACTACAGAGACTGCAGCTGCTCCTCCCCACAAGGGGCTCTGTCCCAGGAAGAACAAGTTCTGTCCATAAACCTTTGGCTGGAGTTTCTGAAATTCCCATGGGAGGCCCTGCCCAGTGACAAGGGATGGATCAGGGTCCCACTAAAAGAAGCAGTCTGGCCACAATCTGCCACACCCACTGTGCAGCAGTGTGGGGAATTCCTCCCAGTACAAAACACTCAGTTTCTTTGGCACTAGTAGAAGAAAACAGCCAACTGGAGCTGCAGAGATGGCACCTACCCCTTCCCCCATAAACTCAGTCATGTTAGGTAGTCTCCAGCCTGCTGCTGCCGGCCAGCAGGGATTCTAAGCCAGTGGGTCTTAGTTAGTGAGGTCCCATGGCAGTGAGGCTCACTAAATAATGCTGCTTGGCTCCCTGGCTTCAGCCCCATTCCTACAGGAAGGGACAATCTGCCTCACCAGAATTCCCAGGTCTGGGGTATGCAAAACAACTCCTGTGTCTCAGTGCCTTCCCAAGTGGCTGCATGTCTTAGTGGCTGCCAACCTCAGTGACCTCTGAGAGCCTGCATAGCTCTGTGCTTGGGATCCGAAACCCTGGTGGTATGGGCTCAAGAGGAAATCTCCTGATCCATGAGTTGCAAGGTGGTATGGGCTCAAGAGGAAATCTCCTGATCCATGAGTTGCAAGGATCCATGGGAAAAGTGTAGTTTCCTGGTCAGGGCAACACATGCTCATTCATTGCCTCCTTTGGCTGGGGGAGAGAGCTCTTCCTGCCCTATGCCACTCCCAGGTGGGCCATCATCACCCCTCTGCTTTTCCTCACCTTCTGTAGGTTGTACCAACTGCCCAGTCAGTCCCAGTGAGAGAACCTGGATACCTTATTTGAACGTGAATTCACTTGCCATTTTCATTCTTCACTGTGAGAGCCACAAAACACAGCTGCTTCTATTCAGCCATCTTCGGCAAGTGTTCTGAGAATGTCTTGTTATTAGAACACATTCAATGAACTACTTAGGGGTAAAGAAGTATCATGTCCAAAATGTACTCTTAAATGATTCAATAAAAGTAATAATATAAATATATGGGGAGAAAAAATGATACAACAAATGTGATAAAATGTTAACACCTGCAGGTGAGTGAAGGCTAGAATTATTATTTTTTCTTTTTTTTTTTCTTTCATACCAGTGATCTCTGTACTTTAGGAAGAATTATTATTATTATTATTATTATTCTAAGTTTTTATTTAAGTCTGAAACTATTTTGAAATATTAAATTGTTTTTTAAAAAGAAAGTTATCTAACTGCAAACAATGACTGAATTAGATCTAATATGGTCATATGATTAAATCTGAAAAATATAACAGCAAAAACCCAAGAAACATACACCAGATAATATTTATTTAAATGTTAAAATCATAAAAAAAAATCATATATGAATATGTAATGAAGGTTTTTTTTTTTTTGAGACGGAGTTTCGCTCTTGTTACCCAGGCTGGAGTGCAATGGCGCGATCTCGGCTCACCGCAGCCTCCACCTCCTGGGTTCAGGCAATTCTCCTGTCTCAGCCTCCTGAGTAGCTGGGATTACAGGCACGCACCACCATACCCAGCTAATTTTTTTGTATTTTTAGTAGAGACGGGGTTTCACCTTGTTGACCAGGATGGTCTTGATCGCTTGCCCTCGTGATCCACCCGCCTCGGCCTCCCAAAGTGCTGGGATTACAGGCTTCAGCCACCGCACCCGGCCACGAAGGTTTAATGTATATTACGGCAAAAGGAGAGGAATAAAGACAGGAGAATAGGGCAAACATTGAAATAACACATTTCTTTTAAAATAAAGCTAATTCCAATGTGATGAAATTTTAACATGTGTTTTATCTGTGTGATGGTTACATAAGTATCTACTATTATTTTCATACTATCTATGTGTTTTATATATGTTATAATTAAAAGATTTTAAGAAAAAACATGTTAATGGTTCAAAGAATCTAAAATCCCCAAAACTTCCCGGTGTCCCTACTGCCACAAACCAAATAGTTTTTGAAGGTGCTTAAGGCTAAGCCCAAAGATGGAGTCATATACCAACAAATAACTATAGTATATTGGGAATAAAGGTCAAGATAAATACTGAGAATGCCTTTTCTTTGCCCAAGATGTCTCCTTCAGCCTTTCCTTAAATCTATGCTTACTTTTAGAATTTCCTCACTAGAATTAGTTCTTCTATATCTCATTGAAGTATAAAAACACTATTGGTTCCAAGTACTATGATTTCTGTCTTATAATTGAGTAAAACCAGACATACCATCTATATTCATTGTCTGTATTCATAGATAACACATACATTTCAATTGTCTGAATGGAATCTTGACAACTCCAGTCAGGCTTGAAATTTAAACTCTGGATGAGATGAATTAGCTATATTATAATTGATATTTCAATCAGAGAAAAGCACCTTATCATTTTTTTAAAATAATTATTTCTGGAATAAATGATGTTTACAATTACAGATTCAAATTCTTTTAAAAACAAAATGTTCTTTTTTCTTTTCAAATTCAGAAAAAGGATATCTATGTATTACTTATGATTATACATTGTGGCAGAGACTCCTAGCAATTTACACCCATTTCTTCTTCTTCTGAGATACATAGACTATATTTTCCAGCCTCCTTGGCAGTTAAGTATGGCCATGTGACTGGCTATAACTCCAAGCCTGGCCTACAAAAACTTCCAACATATAATCCCCCATCCTCTTCTGCCAGCTGGATAGGGATGACAACAAATCCCTAGAGAATGACAGAAACACAAATGGAATAATCCTGTGTCCCTGAATCCCTATATGAAGGAAAGTCACTTAACAAGAAATGTCACATGAACGAGGAAAAAGAATTCTACTGTATTAAGCCACTAAAATTGGGGAGCCTATTTGTTACCACAAATCTTGTTACATTAACTAAAACATGTAATCACTTTCTTTTGGAGAAATAAGCCAGAAAAAAAAAAAAACCCATATATAAATCACAAACAATTTTCCAATTGTCAATATGAAATGCATTATACTTACAAATTGAGGTTTGTAATACGCTGGACCAAGTGTACTGTCACTAGCAGGTGGAAGACATTTTATAATAGTGCCATCATCATTAATATGATAACCATATGATTTTCCACAAGAAGGAATTGAAGGAACATCAACATTTCTGGTAAGTGTAGGTGCGCTTGAAATTTTCTACAAGGAAACATTTTATATTATTTATTTAAAGACAAGGAAGGGGAATCAAGAACCAAATATTAAACTTTACTAAAAGGCAACTATTAAATATTGATTTAATGAGTTTCATAATATCAAACAAAAATGTTTGTTTTGTTACTAGTTTTTTGAGATAGGTTCTCACTCTGTCGCCCAGGCTAGAGTACAGCAGCACAATCTCCACTCACTGCAACCTCTGTCTCCAGGGTTCAAGTGATTCTGCCCTTGACCTCTGCCTCTCAAGTATGTGGGACTACAAGGCATTTGCCACTACGCCTGGCTAATTTTTGTATTTTTAGTAGAGACAGGGTTTCACCATGTTGGCCGCTGGTCTCAAACTGTTGGTCTCAAATGATCTGCCAGCCTCAGCTTCCCAAAGTGCTGGGATTATAGACATGAGCCACTGTGCCCAGCCAAAAAAGTTTTATTTTGTAAAATTAATTTAAAGAAGTGAATTCAAGTCTGTCTTGCTGCATCCTATAAACCAAGAGAATACACTACTATTAAATTAAGAATAGAAGAGAAGAGAATAGAATAGAATAGAATAGAATAGATAACTATTAAAGTCATCAAAAGAAGCAAGGATTCTCTCTCATTTGGATCTTATTTATCTTGCTTAGTAAAGCCATCATTACTGATTCTAAAAACAGGCAATCCTATTCACATCAACAATCATGCTATTATACTATCTGCTATGCAAAAACAAACTTTATATTTTTCAGTAACACTTTCTGGCTTCATTTCTTCCCAGTTCCTGACTTTTGTTTCCATGTTTCCTGAGTCTTGTATAAATATCCTAACTATGCAAGCTATATAGCAGGAAAGTGTCTATGATGTAATGCTAAATGGAAATAGAAAAATATAAAAGTGAATTATGAATATAGCTAAGTTATGTGAAATTATATATAAATGCATAAAGTCACCTACATGTATATACCAAAAAAATCTATGTAAAAATTCACCAACATGGTGAAACCCCATCTCTAAATTAATGTTAGAATCAGAAGTTTTAGGGTGATTATCCTTTTATCAAAATTTGCTTTAATGTAAAATATTTTAAAACTTCAAGAAAAACAGGAAGGTGTAACATATATTACAAATATTAATATAAAATTTATAAAGTTGATATATTGGCATTTAAAGGATTTAGTTATTAGGCAACTGAAATTATTAAGAATATAATGACTCCTGTAGTTTCTGTATGAATAAATTAATGCAATAGTTCCATGTTTACATGCCCATATACAATTATGTTAGAAACATACTATCACTGGCAGAATTTTCCTTTTTTTTTTTTTTTTTTTCTTTTTGAGACAGGGTTTTTGCTCTTGTTGCCCAGGCTGGAATGCAGTGGCATGATCTCAGCTCACTGTAACCTCTGCCTCAGAGGTTCAAGCAATTCTCCTACCTCAGTCTCTCAAGTAACTGTGATTACTGGCACACGCCACCACACCTGGCTAATTTTTTTTTGTATTTTTTGTAGAGATGGGGTTTCACCATGTTGGCCAAGCTAGTCTCAAACTCCTGACCTCAGGTGATCCCTGAGGCCTCCCAAAGTGCTGAGATTACAGGCATGAGACACTGTGCCTGGCCATTTTTCTTTATTAAAATTTTTTGGGGGGCAGGAGGCAAAGTCTGACTGTGTTCCCCAGGCTGGAATACAGTAGCATGATCTTGGCTTACTGCAACTTCTGCCTCCTGTGTTCAAGTGATTCTCATGCCCCAGCCTCCCAAGTAGCTGAGATTACAGGTGTATGCCACCTGGCCTGGCTAATCTTTGTATTTTTTTAAGTAGAGACAGGATTTCCTCATGTTGGCCAGGCTGGTCTCACACTCCTGGCCTCAAGTGATCTGCCTGCCCCAGCCTCCCAAAGTGTGGAGATTACAGGTGTAAGCCACCACACCCAGCCAGAATTTTATTTTTTATCAATTAAAGAAAATCATTAAGTGTTTCAGTAATACCTATGATATTAATTACCAAATTAAGAAATCATTTAATGGCTTTCCCTCCTTTCAGTACATTCAAAAATATTTGTGTGATGTCAAGACTTTCCAAAATATAACCCCTACCTTCAGTCTCTACTATAAATCTCCCTTAGCTTCTGTACTCCAAACATTCCAAAGAACTTTGTTCTTTCCTGGAATATACCTTGCTAGCAAACACTTCAGTGTCTTTATGCATGTGGTTTTTACTGCACATGAATAAAGGGGGGGAAAAATATTTTTCCCATTCTTTTTAACTACTTGGTAAATCCTTCTTCAAGATCAGGTTCAATTTGCTTCCCCTATTCCCTCCAAAGACTCTCTACCTTGAGCACTAGTAACACTGGATTATAGCTCTAAGATAGCATTTCATTAACAGTATTATACCAAATTTCATTCATTATTTCCCCATTAAAATTATCTCAGGAAGCAATAATGTTTTCTATGTATTACCAACATCTAGCATTATGTATGGCCACACAGTCACCTCAAAGTAAATGAGCATTTGCTTTGTCCCCACACACAAAATATCTGATATTTAAATATGCTTACAAAATTTAACCTCATTGTCATTGCACTGGTATTATTCAACTAAGCACTTGGCCTTAAAATAGGTCCTCCTAAACAAAAAACTGATTAAAATTTAATATGAGCTACATGAAGAAGTTGTGGCAAGAGAAGGGAACCACTCTAAACAGTGTATAAATCTGCTTGATCATATTATTTATTTCAAAGAGGTAGCCTTTGATATAAAAATTATTAATTATCTATCACCCAATACCTTTCCAAACATACCACACACTAATCTTCTGTACAAATTCTTCACTCCAGTTAAAATTACCTTCTGACTACCTTCCATGAAAATCTCACTTCTGCCAGACGCAGTGGCTCACGCCTGTAATCCTAGCACTTTGGGAGGTTGAGGCAGGCAGATCACCTGAGGTCAGGCATTCAAGAACAGCCTGGCCAACATGGTGAAACTCCATCTCTACTAAAACCACAAAAATTAGCTAGGCATGGTGGCAGGCACCTGTAATCCCAGCTACTTGGGAGGCTCACACAGGAGAATCACTTAAACCTAGGAGACGGAGGTTGCAGTGAGCCGAGATCGTGCCATTGCATTCCAGCCTGGGGGATAAGAATGAGAATTCATCACAAAAAAAAAAAAAAAAAAAAAAAATCTCACTTCTGTATCTTCACTTATATATAACCCTCTAGTTTAGAATGCATATTCCAACTCTATTCTTCAATGCCCATGTAAAGACCCACCTCTTCTATAAATCTTCCATAAATTATGCCTTCACATAATACAGTAGTCCTCCTTTAAATTCCTATGGCATTTCGCTACATGATCATTCATTTAGCAACTGTCACATCTTTGTCTTGAATTAACAGCTATCTATTTGTCCATCTCCCATCTAAATTTTAATATTTTTTACCTCAGGGATCACATATTTAACTTGTATTACTTGTATTATTTCTATTTCTTTTCCTTCCTTGTCAGAAGGAAGTCATATTTTATTAACAGTACTTAACGCAGGCCTTCCTCTATATACAGGTAAATCACTCAGGTAGTTTGTAAAATCTCCCTTACTTTTAATTCACCAGAGATATTAAAAGTGATTACAGATTTACCAGGAGCAAAAAATGAAGTCAGATATGAATACAGTTAAAAACTAAAGTTTATGTACCTATAAAATAACTAAAATATAAATACTAATAAATCTAATTTTTACAGGAAGGCTTTTTAAATGTACCTAACATCACATAAAATATTAAACCTTTACTATTTTAACTAAAAAATTGTCATTACAAGTATAATTTAAAATAGCAACGTACTGACTGAAGATGCTCTTTGGCCTCTAATACTTTTCTGTTCATGATATCTTGTGTTCTAGGATAAGACTGATCATAGCTTGCTGGTCCTGGATTATCTGAAATAAACTTCTTAAAACGTTTCTCCCGGTTTTGTAGACTATGGCCTCCTTTTACATTACACTAAAACGGAGAGAGAAAAAAATTTCTGACATATAAAAGAAGCACTTTACAATTAATTTCTACTTTATAAGTATTAATCATTATCAGAAAATAGTTTTAAAACTCAAGCTAAGAAAGTGCACTCTTGACTGAAGACACAGTTCTAGTAAAAAGGGATAGTAAGAGAAGATAATTACAGTTGTCAGTTTTAACTTGAAACTCAAAACTAAAATTTGCTGTACTGGGAGCACTTTGAGAGAGTGTAAAAAAAACTCCATTTTAAAACAGAAATCAGAGGTGGGAATTCCCAAAGCTGTAGAGCAAGAATAAAGGCCCTTGGAAAAATCTGTACCCCTGAAATGAACTAAAAAAAAAAAAAAAGGTTGGCATCCATGTTGCAAAAAAAAAAAAAATAGCAAACCTTTCAAAAGGTTATTTAGTGTTAATTCTTTTCATGAAAAACATTTTGGTCATTTCCAGAAAAGTTTATAAAGACTTATTAGCAACAGCTTGGTTTTATGTTCAAATTAATTTTAAACATTGTTTATTGCAGAGCAAACATTTGGGTGGACTCTTCCAGGGCTGGCCATGCTACATATCTGGATTCTCAAGAATCTGAAAAGTATCAACTGACTACTACCCAATTAATGTGGGTAAAATTACATCTAAAGATTTCTGTAAACAATTACAGTGCAATCATTTCAAAAAGATGAGTTATGATAACAGCATTTGGTTGGTCATCTAAGATTTTAAGTCACTGATTTACAAATAGCCCTTTTCAGATGTCCAGTTATTCACAGTCAATATTCACAGAGCCTATCTCTACTGGGGACCTTACTGAATTTTATCCAGCTTTTAAGAAATATACAAAAGAGGTCTTCTTTTAAAAACTGAGTCAACTTTTATTTTTAAATAGGCAATTTACTGCTTGAGTACTATTTTAAAAAGATCAGAATTTCTATGTTTAAAGAGTAGACATATAAAAATTACTTTAATAATTTATTTTACAAAAAAATTTAAAAGTTGAACAAAAAGCAAAACCTGTGGGAAAAACTTTTCAAATTTTGATAATTTAAAATCCATTACTATAGGCTCCATGATTATACAAATCAAACCACAATCTGAATCTATATCAATCCTTCAACAAAGACTTTGTCTGGGCCTCCAACAGGGGAGTTAAAGGTGTGCTGGAATCAGCTAGGAGCCAGTACATATAAATGCAAAATTTATGTGAAAATGGAAAAAAAATTATATTCATGGTTATGAAGCTATCGAGTTATATCCACTATTTCTAAACATGAATGAATCATTGAAGATATTCCAGTCACAGACTCTTGAGACTGTGCAGAAACAAGAGACATATGAGACAAAGGCAATGGCTATAGCTTTAAAGTATGGCACAAAAACAAATTCTTTCACTCTACTGCCATTCCTCTTCTACACATTTTGACTATCTGTACAACTTCCATGGGCCATAAAACATTTAAGAGTTCTATTCTCTCATTCTCAAGGACCATACAGCATGTAACAATGTTTTGTGTCTTATAGAACAAATAGAATGTTGAAAAACATCCAACTGAATCATGCGACCAACATCGAATACATTTATTTTATATTATTCAAATTACAAAACATAAATTGAAAGTAAAAGACAATATGAGAAGAAAATAAAATATAACAAATGACATTTGGTCTAGTCAGGGAAGAAAACATGATTTTATTAAGTCAATTACAGTAACTTTTATAAAGTTACCTGCGCTTCTGAAACATTATAGTGTCCTGGACCTGGAACAGCTTTCTCAATGCTAGAGGCAATGGTAAAAGTACTTTCTCTGGCAGTCAAAGAAAGAAATGGTGCATAACTACCTATAAAAATAAAATCATATGACCAGCAGATAAGATAGGAGTCAAAGAATTTCAGAGAAAAAAAACTCAAAATATAAATAATCATGAGTATCCTCAATTGTTAAGACTTTACTTTCAGAACTAATGACTAGGCAGTTATTAAATTATTAAATATCTTATATAAGATCAGAAATTTATTAATATATTAAATACAAGAACTTAAAGATCCAGACTTATTGAACAACAACAAAATATCTAAAGAAAATAAAAAATGGTTCAGGCATGGTGGCTCATGCCTGTAATCCCAGCACTTTGTGAGGCCAAGGCAGGTGGATCACCTGAGGTCAGGAGTTCAAGACCAGCCTGACCAAGATGGAGAAACCCCGTCTCTACTAAAACTACAAAATTAGCAGGTCATGGTGGTGCATGCCTGTAATCCCAGCTACTTGGGAATCTGAGGCAGAAGAATTGCTTGAACCCAGGAGGTGGAGATTGCGGTGAGCTGAGATCGCGCCATTGCACTCTAGCCTGGGCAACAAGAGTGAAACTCCATCTCAGAAAAAAGAAAAAAAAAACAAACTAAAACCTTCTTGACTTCTAATCATTTTTGGTGGGGATGAATATGTCAGTCATATTTAGCTGATAAAAATATTTTCATCCTCAGAAGACCATTGTTTTATATTTTGAAATAGCATATATTACTTGTAGAAAACAGCATATATAAACTTGTAAAGACTTTTTAATCTTTTTAATCTTTTCTAGATTAAAAAGATCAGAATTTCTATGTTTAAAGAGTAGACATATAAAAATAACTTTAATGATTTATTTTACAAAAAAATTAAAAAGTTAAACAAAAAGCAAAATCCTATGAAAAAAGAACTTTACCATAGGCTCCATGATCATACAAATCAAACAGCAATCTGCATCTATATCAATCACTTCACAAAGACTTTATCTGGTCCTCCAACAGAGGAGGAAAGAATTTAAAGTGGGTTTACAGTAGATAATTGGTCATGTCTCGTTGCCTAGGCACACAGTATTTCTTGACCGGCTGACCCTAAACAAAGGTTTATAAATCTAAGACACAAGTTTCTTTGGAACAAGTGATCAAAAGATTCAATATCTATAGGAAAAACTACTAGTGTTTAAGCAATGTGGATATTAAAGAAGAGATAGGAGAGAATAGAGCAGCTGCTATATTCTAATAGGTAATAAATAGGTACTTAAAGAATGCAAGTGAAGACACAAAACTTTTACACTAAATCTTGTATACTAAAGGAAAATGTGTGCTATTACTGGCAGAATGTATTGTGATAATTAATATAATAAAAATCTTGCTAATCTGGACTAATAATAAAAGATACTCTCTTTAAAATAAAATAATATGTTACTTTTGAGGCCCACATGCATTAAACCATAACCAATGTCAAGAATTATTTCTTTGTGTTAAGTATGGCAACATAAAAGAGGTGAACAAAATATAGATCTTACCTCTAAAAAAGTAGTATCTTGAAGCATTAAAAAAAGTATTGAAATAATTTTAAACAAGGAAAAGCATCTCTAATGCCATAATGGAAGACAAATGCTCAAAAATTCAAAAAGAAGAGAAGTTCTCATTCACATTGAGGTGATCAGGAAAAACTTCATGGATGATGTTAAAACTCCAGATGTTAATTTAGTGACTGATGGTTTAGCTGGCTATCCCAAAGCAGAGAAGAAGGGAATTGGAAAGGGAAGGGTAAAAGAAAGAGAAAGGTTGGAAAGAAGGCAGACTGACCTTCAAATAATTTGCAAAGACCACAAGACCAGAAATCCTTAAAAATAAGCCAAGGTTCATTTTGAAAAGGCAACAGTTGTCAGGTAGACTGAGAAACCTAGGACACCAGTGAAACATTCTACTTACTCAGGGTAAACAGCCAGACAACAAGAACCAGATTTCATTCCAAACACACATATAAAAACACACACATACACACTTAAACTACATATAAAATGAGTCATACAAATTACCAGAGAGTATATTTTCAAGACACAGGAAAATATGACCTATAAAGAGGAGAAAAGTCAATGTAAAGAAACAGATCAAGAAATGAAAAGGAGGAATCTGCAGACAAGAACACTGTCTATTGTAAATATGCTTTCTATATTCAACAAGGTAGAGAAGGTGAACATGAGAAGATATAAAAAAGATTCAAATCAAATTTACAACATAAAAAATACACTGGATGGAATTAACAGCAAATTTTTGTGAATAAAATGTATTTTTTCTCAATTCTTAATCCCTTTAAAAAATACAGATGCTCATTGACTTGTGATAGTTACTTCCCGATAAAATCATCTTAATCAGAAAATATTGTAAACTGGCTGGACGCAGTGGCTCAAGCCTGTAATCCCAGCACTTTGGGAGGTCAAGGTGGGTGCATCACAAGGTCAGAAGTTCAAGACCAGCCTGACCAACATGGAGAAACCCTGTCTCTATTAAAAATACAAAAATTAGGCCGGGAGTGCTGCTCAAGCCTGTAATCCCAGCACTTTGGGAGGCCAAGGCAGGTGGATCACGAGGTCAAGAGATCGAGACCATCATGGTCAACATGGTGAAACCCCGTCTCTACTAAAAATACAAAAAAATTAGCTGGGCATGGTGGCACGTGCCTGTAATCCCAGCTACTCAGGAGGCTAAGGCAGGAGAATTGCCTGAACCCAGGAGGCGGAGGTTGTGGTGAGCCGAGATCGCGCCATTGCACTCCAGCCTGGGTAACAAGAGCGAAACTCCGTCTCAAAAAAAAAAAAAAAAAAAAATAGCCAGGTGTGGTGGTGCATGCCTGTAATCCCTGCTACTTGAGAAGCTGAGGCAGGAGAATTGCTTGAATCGGGGAGGCGGAGGTTGCAGTGAGCCAAGATCATTCCATTACACTCCAGCCTGGGCAACAAGAGCAAAAGTCTGCCTCAAATAAAAAATAAAAAATATAAATAAATAAATATATTAAAAATTGAAACTGTATGTAATATACCTAACCTATAATAGCATAGATTAGTCTATCTTAACGTGCTCAGAACACTTACACTAGCCTAAAGTTAGGCAAAATTACCTAACATAAAAACTATTTTATAATAAAATGTTGAATATCTCATGTCATTTATTGAATACTGTACTGAAAATGAAAAATAGAATGGTTGTATGGGTACTAGAAGTTCGGTGTCTACTGAATGCATATTGCTTTCATACCATTGTGCAAAATTTAAAAAAAAATAAGTTGAATCATCATAAGACAAGAACTGTCTGCAATTGCTTACAGCAAAGATAGTCTCAATTTATTGAGGCATTATAGCTGATGTAGAAGTAACAGGTACAAATAGAAGCAGACTTTGTGAGGCTTATTTACCTACCATATATGAAGTGGTACATTATTTGAAGACAGACTATCATAAATTAGAAATACATATTGTAAACCCTACATAATCACTTAAAAATAAAACAGAGAGGTATAGCAAATAAACCAATAGTGGATATAAGAAAGAACTATTTTTTAAAAATCTTTATTCCTGCAACCAAAGTAGGGAAAAAGGAAAAAACAGATGAGATAAATGGAAAGCAAATAGCAAAAGAGTACATTTAAATCCAAAGACACTGGTAGTGAAATTAACTATAAAGTTCTAAACACCTCAGTTAAAAGGCAGACACTGTCAGACTGAATTAAAAAGACCAAACTTTATGCTGTCTATTAGAAACTGTCTTAAGACATAAAAACAGAAATTAAAAAGATAGAAAGTTATAACATGCATCCATGAATCCAAAAAGCTAGAGTGCCGATATTAAAATAAGACAAAGCTAATTTTAGAACAAGGAATAACAGGGATAAAAGATATTACTTTATAAGGATAAAGGGGTCATTTCATCAACAGGATTTAACAATCCATAAAGAAAAGCAAGGCAGTTATTACCGTAACAATCAGGATAGTGCTTAACTGTAGGCAAGAAGGAAACAGTGAAATAAAAAGCACCAAAAAGAAAATTTTGGCAATGTTCTATTTCTGTTTTCTTTTGCTTTTTGTTTTTGTTTTCCTGTACCCACTGATAGCAGATCTATTTTTTAACTTGAATATCTGCTTTTTAAGGTCTATATTTATCTTTTATGTGATTTTCTATGTAAGTATTCTAACTCACAATAAAAGGGTTTTTTTTTTTAAGTTTAGGTTCACATGAACGTTAAGGTAATGTGTGATAAATATGAAAATTAAGAAAGTGAAACTCAGGTTACTTCTGAAGTAGCTGGCATCAGAATACAGCAGGACCCCTAAGTGAATCTGCCTAAACAAATGTAAAATTAGTTGCAGAGTGCTGAAACTCATACAAAAATTAAATAATAAAAAAAAAAAATACTAGCCATCTACTCAACGTAGTATTGACATTATTAATGGTAGAATATATACTTATGAAATAATTGGGCAACAAAGAGAATCAAGAAAGCTGGTACCCGGCCAGGCGCGGTGGCTCACGCCTGTAATCCTAGCACTTTGGGAGGCCGAGGCGGGTGGATCATGAGGGCAAGAGATCGAGACCATCCTGGTCAACATGGTGAAACCCCGTCTCCACTAAAAATACAAAAAATTAGCTGGGCATGGTGGTGCGTGCCTGTAATCCCAGCTACTCAGGAGGCTGAGGCAGGAGAATTGCCTGAACTCAGGAGGTGGAGGTGGAGGTGAGCCGAGATCGTGCCATTGCACTCCAGCCTGGGTAACACGAGCGAAACCCTGTCTCAAAAAAAAAAAAAAAAAAAAAAAGAAAGAAAGCTGGTACTCATAAAATCTTCATTTAACTTTTCCAAAATTAATTCTATAGAATCTTTTGTCAAGAAAAGTGTATATGAAATATTTAGCACAAGTTAAACTACAAAAAAAATTAAATGTTTATGATATACTCCATGAGAGAAGGCACTTACTTGTTGATTTATTTATAGCTGTGTGCCTAATGTTTATAGTGAAGTTGACCAATTAACAAATGATATTCTAAACTAGTCATC